ACCCTACAGCTTCCATCTTTTTGCAGAGAGAGAGAGAGAGAGAGACAGAAGAAAAAAGAGAGCAGAGAGACAGATGCATCAGGACAGATGGAGAGTGATTGGGATGGCATCAGAGTTGAGCATAATGCTGTAAAATGGAGTAGCGCTGAACTCCCGATTTAAATTTGTTGGCGCTTCCTATTAGTGCGATCTGTTGGAAGCGAGCATCAGAGGGATCTGGCGCTGATTCCTCCTTTTCATTTGGCCGAATGACGCTGAACGGCGAGAGCTAATAAATTTGCTGTGGACAATCACACAGTGTATCAGCTGCCTTGGAATGAATGAGCCAGAGAGAGGATCTCAATTAGTGTTTAAGGTCAGGCCAATATTCATGCTCTTACACTCTGCTGTCCTGAATCAATGCTGACGTTTAGAATCAATTAGGGAATAGCCGAGCTCACTGTGACTGACAACACCATTTATCGAAGTTCGAGCTAACAAGGAGCAACGATGCTAAAAAACGGACGTATTGGACGTAGTAAAAGCGAGAGACAGGTTGGGCTGCAATAGTGATGGGCGATTATGCAAGATGGCCACTGAAAGTCAATTATTACAACTTTTAGCAGACAATAAAAACAAATAGGGTGTTTCGGCATCTGTGGTCCGTCTTTAAATCACAAAACCTCAAACTTAAAACATTTCCAAATTACATGAGGCTCCCTCACACGAATAACAGCCAGGCTACATTAGTGCTGGCAACATCTCCACAACACCACAGAGAAGGTAAACACTTAGAGGCCAAACTTTTTTTTTCCTTTACCGCATGTGTGAGATGGAGAATCTCGTATATAATGTGTGCGTCGCTTCTGCAGCTGAGGGCTCGTGGAAAGTGGGCGACGAAAAGCACGAGAGAGGGACAAAAGCAGAAGGGGGAGCAGGAGCGTGGAGGAGATGGAGTCCCAGGGAGTTTTGGGATGGAGGGAGGAGGGGGTGAAGGGGGCAAAGTCTGGAAGCTTGCTGACAGGACTGGATGTGCCCAGACAGAGAGCCAGGCCCAGGCCCAGACATGAGAGCCTTATTTGAGTCTCAGAAATGCCTCGCCCATCTCTCCCCCATCCCCTTCTCTACAGAAAAAAACAGCATCAATTCCTCTCCCCTGCATTTCTCTCCCTTCCCAGCATGTTATTCCTCACCCGTATTTCCAGGCAGAGCCCCTCTTGTCCCACTCCCCCCTTTCTATTTCGCTTCAAACAAGCAAACACTCATGTACATACCTCAGTCACACTGAACTGCCGTCGTGCTGCTGAGGTTATACTAGAGAATCCAGGGTGTTGGCCGAGCGAGTAAATAATAATACAAACCAGCTGCGTCTCTCGTCATATTACGTACGCATCACAGCTCCCTGAACTGAACTCCCACTTAACTAAAGAAGCTCTGGCTAGATGCACGTTTAGCCATAAGTTAAATATTAAGTATGTTGATGGAAACTAACCCAAAATGGTTTTCCTCCAACCCCCCTACACAACATTCTGCCAGCTCCTTTACATTACTGTTATTGTTTCATGTCTTGGCTTTATTCCCCTTATTTCTTCTTTAACTTTTCCTCATCAAGTGTGCCCTGCCCTAGACATGGTCTGCGTTTCGTCTGAGGGCCTCTGCGAGCAGAAATTCTCTCACGATACGAGCACTGAGCAGGGAGTGCAGACGTAGCATTAGAGAGAATGAGAAGAGGTAGGGTGGGGTAACTGGAGTGAGGCACTGAGTTGTCTGTGTTTATTTTGGAAATGCAGGCCTGCAGACTTGCAGCAGAGGAACTGACCCCTCAACTTCACCGTGGCGGATTCTCTCAGAAAGAGCGAAATGCGTCCATTTGGGATGTCCCATGCAGGTGATTTTGAAAAAGGGCCATTTTAAAACACCCTGGGGATCCAAGAATGGTCTGCTCCAGGAGGAAACAGTGAGGCCGTGAGGTGATTAGTGGTTACAGTTTAACTGGAGAAAAATGCACGGTCCGTGAGCCCAGCCAGCCAGGGAGCGAAGCGGTATGCGCTGGTCTCTTTCAGTTTGCAAGTTAGTGTGAGTCAAGCTCTGTATCCGCTTTGTCTATTCTAAATGTGCAGGTACAGGAACCTGGCCATCATCCGGCATGGACATATCACACTGTAATGCTCCGAAGCATGGCCGTGTCACCTCCACTTCAGCAGACATGGCAATAATTAGTGATAAGAGAGTTCTCCAAACAAATGTACAGCGCCAGATTGTAATATCTCTGAATCAGGGTAACTGAGAAAACCATTTGACGTCCTCTGCCACATGGCTCATATGATTTTGTTGGTATCATATTCAGCCAACATCTGCTGCAAAATAATTGAGGATCAGTCGATAACTCAAGTTAAGTTGTTAAATTATAGCAATGCCAGGTGGATTGGAAGCCTGAATGATAGAAATAACTATTTCTTAATCGTCTACTGATGGATGCCACGTTTGAAATAGCATCCCCTCTTTGCCTCGTTTCACTGAAGAGCCACATGGCTTCATCTGGGTTTGTAATGCATCTCCTGTGACATTTTCAGCCCGCACAAAGGCCAAGAGCTCCAATGTGCAACTCCATTGAGCATGGAAAAAGGAAAAGGACATATCTGTTAAGCAGAAAGAAAGTGGCTCTGTGAGAATGAATGCAAGTGTGCATCAGGTGCCCTGTTTTCACTGCATGCCGCCTCATTCACTGACCACTGTAATCCTCCCTCCCCTGCTGCCGAGTTGCATTTCAGTTTGACGGTAATCCCCAGCAGCTATGAAACCCTGCTGTGATATTAATTCAAACACTCTCCCTCAGTGTAGTTTGTGCCATTTATATTCCACCCACTTGTAGCGGCCAAAGACCTTCAGTTTCCCAGTGGCAAGCATATTTAAGTGTGCCACACCAGGTCGACAACACTGTGTGAAAAACAAATGTTTCTCTGGTCACCTTTGATTTCAGATGACTTTCTTGGCGACTCTTTATATCAAATGGGGTGTGCTTTTATTGCTCTGGTTTAAGGCATTAAGTACAAGTGCAGTGTGGGTTCCCACCATCCCTCTACCACATGCCTCGTGGTTGCTCTCTGACGCAGGAATATGCTATTAGGGTCCACCTTTTCCACCATAAAGCAGCTGCCTTTCCCTCGCAGTTTGGGACCTCAGGGGTATGATGTCACACAATTGTGGTAAGGGGCAAAATCTTAACACAAGGCAAAAACATTTTTTGGGGGGGAATGACAACCACACCCATGATTTGATTTCAGAGACTGGCAAGGTGAAAAGCCTTTATGATGTAACCACCACTGCACTGATTAAGCAGATGAAGCCAGTTTGTGTCAACTTAGTTGCTCGGACCGAAACTCTGTGCAAGTTCTTGCAGCTGCCTGAGTGTCTACATTTGGCCAAGCATGCAGTCAGGGTGAGAAAATGTACAGCGAAAAAGGCTGCCCGCACAAACACACACATCCTGTGAGTGTGGAACGCCACCACAGGGGTGCACGGCCGGACCACATCTGGCTTTATGGTGAGGCGTTGCTGAAATGACCAAGGTGCCAACTTCCTCTGTCCTTTTTTTCACATGGATGTTATAGCTGTTGCTAAACTGATAATCAGCTGATTGGATGCACTAAGCAGACTGTGGATGTAAGGAGAACCTGTGCTCACAGTTCAGAGAGGGGTTATGGATTAAATAGCAGAGGCCTGGAATAGGGAGGGAGAAAAAGGAGAAGAGGAGGTCCTCCCTCTGTAGAGCGCCTCTGTGGCCTCTTTCACTGAGGTCCAGTGGGCCCATAGCCAGACCTCCTTAGGTCTCATGTGCCATCTTGTATAAGTTTCCTTGATGCAGTAGTACAGTATTATACTAACACTTAATCACCTCGGAAAAATACAGCCATTCTACTCCAAAATACAACTGCAGCCCCCTGAGTGTGCCTCGATCTGCATTGTGGACTAATGCTTAATGATCAGGCCTTATTCCACTCCAGCACAGGGATTGTTAGGTCTGCCTTGGCAGGGCTCAGCTCTTTCCCGTGGCATCCTCTGGAACAATGAGCCCATGGGAGGCAGCCAATCAGGAGAAGGTCCATCCCAGACCCAGTCCCAGTGTGCACACAATTAGGCTTGGGGACAGTGGAATTGCTTAATTGGAGGAAAATAGGTCTTTATCTAGGCCTCTCTGCCTGTGTTCATCCTTGCCCCGTGCACTTCATGGCCGTGGCCTCCACCAAGTTAGAATTGGTACAAACCGAGATGACAAAACGGCAAAGATGTCACTGGTTTCATCCATCACTGTGGACAAAGGGTTTTAAGCACCATGAACTCATGCTACATTCGAGTACCAGTTGCTGTGATCAGAAACATGAGCATTAACTCTCCAGAACTCAGTGCACCTTCTTGGTAATGTGAAGTGATTGCATATTTATTCTTTCTCTCATTCTCGTGGGGGGGAAGTATCATGAATCTGAGGATTGGCATGATTTCCAGTGGGTGTTAACCCTAAGTCAAAGCTTACCCCCGTTTTATTTACAAATGCACCCCAGGTGGATGTGGCCGTCAGCAATCAGCAGACGTTGAACTCTTTATCAGATGTTGTGACAGAGCATCAGAGAGCTCAATGCAAGCCTGCATCTTGCACAACAGCTGGCTGAGCTGTGATGTACGTGTAAATAGGAGATGGTTTGTGCTGCAGCACAAAATAATGCCTTGCCAGGCTGAGGACGGTGGTGCCCGTTTACAGTTGGGGGGTTACTGAGAATGTGTCTGCGTAAATGGCACAAACGCCGGTAAAGGCACGTCCGCCACAACCGGCCTCGAGTGGCACCAGTGCGCGGACTCCAGGCTGCAGGATATCCGCGAACCGCCGGAGAGTCTCTGAAAATAGGTCACTGCCCAGTTTGAACTCGAGCGATTTCTCACATTGGTGTAGCGCACTCACACCGACGTGGACACACATGACAACACGCACATTACGCAGGACTGACATGCAAGACGAGGGCTCTTACCTTGCGGGGGGGAAATGCCGCGGATACAGCCGAGATATCCCCGACTTGGTCTGCCTCTTCCCGGGGCAAACTTCGCACGCAAAGTCCCGTGGCTCAAACAGGCGTCGGCGTCAAGTGACTCCTCGTCAATGTTTCACTGTTTTAGACGAAATGTCGATGTGTCACGTCTTGAGAAGATATTACCAGGTGTCTGGAGAGGCGGTCCGTTCCCAGACCATTGTCAGGATTATTTCTAACCATGGGGAAAAAGGCTCAAACGCAGTTTATGTGACAGCTGGTTGGGTGAATAAAGACTAATCTATGGAGTGACAGCCTTGTGCGTAACCGTGGGGTGATCTATGCTGCATGTTATCATTCCACTGGAAAGCCGTCAAAAAGTGTAAACACCCAGATCCGGAGTCTGAACTGTTCCCACTGTGGAAAAACCAAGAGCTGTGGTTGAATCAAAGGCGCAGAGGTGATCTCCTCCTAAATTCAATGCGCATCGCTTAATGGCAACGCTGGTCAGAGTGGGGGGGATTCCTATGGGTGCCCCTGGTTCTCCCGCAGCGCAGACCACAGGGATGGCACACGGAGCAGGGTGGATAGGGCGGGTTGACGACGGGGTGTGGGGGTAAAGGGAGGAGGATCGTCTCTTTCTTCTTCCTCGGTGCGTTTTTCTCCAGATGCCGAGGTGGAGCTGTTTGCTTTGTGATTTTTCTCCTCGCAGTTATCCCCCGTGTCTCTCCGGCGTCTTTCTCCCCCCCTCTGAGCGCTCCGGGAGGCGCTGAGCGTTGATGGTAGTCTCCCCCACGACCGTCTGAGGCGCACAGACAGCCGTCCGGAGCCCAGCCAGCCAGCCCGTCAGGACCAGCCCAGAGTCTGCCAGCTCAGCGCATGCTTACTGCTCCGCCCATCATCCACCATGGGCCGTCCCCGGCTGCTCTCCAAACTCTCCCCCTCTCTCTCTCTCTTTCTCTCTGTCCTCATGGCCATCTCTGTGCCTCAGCTCCCCTCCACCATTAGGCCTTTAACCACCCTTCTGCTCTCCACTTTCTTTTCCTGCAGATTATTTTTCCCTGCAGGGTTTACATCTCTGCTGCGTGGCCACTCACCTCTGCCTC